CTCGCCCCGTTTTTCTGTGAGTGCACGGGCCCTATAGCAAAAAAAAAAAAAAAAAAAACTGTTTTAAAAAATTAAAAATAAAAAAATGAAATATATAAATATAAAATACATAATTATAAAGTTTATATTAAAAATTCAAACATTTAAAAAGTTAAAATAAAAACAAAACCCTCCTTGAAGAGTATGAGACCTTGGTGAGCATGTTTAGGGCACCCTAAAATATATTCATCTGGCCTGCATGCCAGCTACAGTTCTTATGTATATGCCCACTAAAACTCCTCTGGCTTTACATGCTTTTGCCCTATTTTGCCTTTTCAGGTTTATGTGAGATCGATAGAGGAGGTGGCATGTGATGAGAGCACAACCCCATTCCTATTCAGAACCACAGCAAGATAGAACTATCAGTAGAAGGCTCTCTTAAGATCACTTAGACCAATGATTCTCTACCTGTCTGCATATTAAAATCACCTGGGGAGGGGCCAGCAGGTGGCATGGAGGTTGTGGTGCTGGACTCTCACTTGGCTGACCGTGGTTTGAGTCCTGAACCCTGCAGCTTGAAATTCACACTGGGCGTGTGTGCATGAGTCCCCAAAATCCTGAGAGGAGAATAAAGGAGAAGGGATTGCAGCATGGTCATCCACCTGAGGGGTGATTTCTTGGTTTTCTTCTGTCTGTCTCTCCCTCTGTCTCTGGTGAGCATACGCGCCCTATAGGAAACATCTCTCAAAAACAAACAAACGAACAAAAAATTGCCTGAGGAGCTCTTTAAAATGGCCACACCCAGGCTCCACTCTAGACAAATTCATTAAAAACTCCCAGGTGGTTCTTCTATGGAGGCAGAACTGAGAGCCACTGACTTAGTCTAAAGGCCCTGAATTACAGAGACAAAAACTAAGACCCACAGATCTGTATAATCTCCTGAGACCACACAGGCAGTGTTAGAGCCAGGCCTTTAAACCCAAATACTCTGATTCCAGTGATAGGCCTCCACCTCTTTGTACATGAATCCAGTGATAATTAGGTAGAATAGTATCCTTAAAAAGTTACATTTAAGAGTAAGGGTCAGATACCTGCAATGTATTTTTTTTTTAAAATTTATTATCATAGGGGTCGGCAGGTGGCATGGTGGTTAAAGGGCACTGGATTCTCACATGTCCGACCCTGGTTCAAGTCCCAGACCTGGCAACTTGCTTTCTCACTTTCCCTTTCTCTCTCTCTCTCTGGTCAAATTAAAAACAATGATAACAAATGGAATTAAATAAATGAATAAATAATTTAAAAAATTATCATTATTATTTTAAAAATTAGCCATAGGGCACATGCACTCACCAGAGAGAGACTGAAAGAGAGAGAGAAGAAGAGAGGGAAAGTGAGAAAGCAAGCATCCAGGTCCAGGACTCGAATCATGGTCAGCCATGTAGGAGTCCAGTGACTTAACCAGCATGTCACCTCCTGGACCCTTGCAATATATTTTTAAATGAGTCAACTGCACCAACAAAAATATATTTACATGGAGAACAAACTCACACAAAAATGGCAAAGTATTATCAATGTTGGATTTAGGTTTGGGGTATATGGATGGATATATATATATATAAATATATATATATATATACACATATATCCTGTTCTTTCAAATGTGCAAGTATGAAAAAAATTTTTTAGAATTATTTTATTTAACTTTATTTATTTTTAATTTTGATCAGAGTGGGACAGAGTGAGAGAGTGACAGAGAGAGAGAGAGAAGGAAAGAGAAAGGAAGCTGTTAGGTCTGCGACTTGAACCATGGTTGGCTATGCTGGAGTCCAGCACCCTTAACCACCATGTCACCTGCCAGCCCCTGCAAGTATGAAAATTTTACAAGAAATTCTAAGTTGGAGAGAAGGAAATGGTTTTGCTTGATTTCTCCCTACTCTTTAAGTCAGGAGAGAGTGAGTGTCTGGCTGCCACCTGGACTGACTGGGTTTGGCTGAGAGCATGAGGCCTGCCTGATACAGCCAATGGGCCATGTATTCTTCCCAACCTGTTGACTTTCATATGTTGCTGACCTGGCTCTCAGCCCTTCAGTGCCTTGGTTTTTTCCACCTGGGAAAGTGAAATAGTGGCCCTTTGCAGGCTCCTCCTATTGATACAGATCTTAAAATACTTGGATGAATACCATGAATCTTTAGAATGCAAAAATAGATGAATGATTTTTATCCCAAATCAGAATTGCTTGAAGTATTCTTATACACAAAGAAATTGTTTTTGGTTTTTGGTTCTCTCTCTTTAAATCAGGCATGATTGTTTCATTATTATTTTTATGTCTTGTCCCGTCAGTAACAGTCATTAAATAATGCATTAATACATTCCTAAATAAATAACGCATAGATTTAGGGATGAAAGGTCAATAAGAGGTCATCTATTCAGTGCTTTGCATTTAGGTATATTACGCCCAAACGCTGATAAAATTGTAAGATATTGTCATTGGGGTTATTTATTTATTTAAAGACACAAGTCTTCACTTTTTTTTCTTGCTGCAAACTGAAATTCTTTCTGCTAAAATGAAAACAGACTTTTCTCCTAAAATTTTGAGTTAGAATCAGGAAATGCCAAAAATTATGATAAATCTCTGTTTTCCCATTATTGTTTCAAAGAAACATGGCTTGTTCCTGGCATATTAGAAAGGTCAGGACTGTCAGCCCAAGTCTTGGAGCATCTGTGGGGATGGAGACTCCGTAGCTTTGCATGCTCTGTGTCACCTTTGAACCAGGGCAAACCCTGTCTTCTACATAGTGGGAGTCAAACTTCAGCGAGCATCAGAATCATCTAGGGGGCATGTTAAAAATTCTGATTTTGAGGTGCCGTCCCTAGAGATTCTGAATCAGTAGCTCTGGGGCGTGGCCTTGGATTGATTGATTATTTATTTATTTGTAGTTTTTGCTGCAGGGCACAAGTGCTCGCCAGAGGGCAGTAGAGAGAAAGAAAAAGAAAGGGAAAGTGAGAAATCACCTCCCAAAGGGGATGACCACATTGCAATCCCTTCTCCATTCTCCTCTTGGGATATTGGGCATGCGTACACACGAGCCTCGTGTGTTTTTCAAGCTGGCAGGGCTGGGTCTCAAACCACACAGTCGACTCTGCCTTAAGCTCCATGCCATTTGCTGGCCTGGAATCTTTATTTTTAACAGACTCAGGAGGTGATTTTAGGGCAAGTGTTTCTTGGCTCCTGTTTGGGAACATTAAGTGCACTGGGGACACGTTTAGTGATCATGAATAGTGGTTTCTCTATGAGGCAGCGAGAGATTTTGTGTCTTCCTGCCCCTCGCTTCCCTCCAGCTACTGTGCTTCTCAGCCTTTAACCCACATATTTGACAACAGGGGAGTATGAGGTCTCACTTCCCAATGTCTGTTTTCATACAGAGAGATAGACATAGGCCCAACAGCCTTTCCAAATATGACCTCCTGGTTGCTCTTTAAGCAGTGTCATAGCGTCACTGGCAAAGACCAGGACCCATTGTATGGTGACTGGTTAATGAGCTGCCAGAGTACAAGGTCTTAATTGTTTTTTGTTGTTTTTGTTGTTGTTGTGTGGTTTTTTTTTTTTTTTTTTTTTTTTGGAGAGGTTTTTGCTATAGGGTGCGTGCGCTCACCAGACAGACAGAGAGAGACAGAGAGATAGATAGTGAGAAATCACCCCCCAGGGGGGATGGCCATGCCACAATCCCTTCTCCTCCATTCTCCTCTCGGGAGCTTGGGCACGCACGCACACGCGTCCGGCATGAGTTTAAGTCACCGGGTTCGGGATGCGAACCGCGGTTGACTACGTGGGAGTCCAGCGACATAGCCATTACGCTAACTGCTGGTCCCAAGGTGTTAATTGTTAATGAACCCGTATTTGTCAGATGAAGGCTTTGTTATTTTTTGAACAGCTTTATACAGAAAAGTGTAATGAGTTATAAATCAAGTGTTAAAATAGAGTCCAAAGTTATTTGATAATGATCATTGTATGAATTATTAAATATATGAACAAGTACTCAAATGCTAAAATTAAAAAAAGGTTTAAATAGAGTATTAAAAATAAATTATTGGGCCAGTCCCTGGCATAATGATTAAAGTGACTGGATCCTGTATATCCAATCCCACATTTCAAGTCCCAGACCAGACAGCTTGAGAAACATGCTGAGCACATGTGCGTGCATGCCCAAAATCCTGAAAAGAGTAAGAAATGGAGGAGAAGGATTGTGGCATGACCATTCCCCATCGTGTGTTCCCACTTTCTCTCTCTTTTTCTAGAATTATTTCATTTAACTTTATTCGCTTTTTATTTTAATTTGACCAGAGCAGGACAGAGTGAGAGAGAGGGAGGGAAAATGAGAAAGCAAGCCGCCAAGTCCAGGATTCGAATCACGGTTGGCCATGTGAGAGTCCAGTGCCCTTAACCACCATACCACCTACTGGTCCCTCTTTTTTTTTTTTTTTTTAAATAATTATTTATTTAATTTTATTTATTAATTTATTCATTTTAATTTGGCCAGAGAGAGACACAGAGAGAGACAGAAAGTGAGAAAGCAAGCCACCAGGCCCAGGACTTGAACTGTAGTTGACCATGTGGGAGTGTCTAGAGCCTTAACCACCATGCCACCTGCTGCCCCCCCCTTTCTCTTTGTCTCTCTCCAGTGAGTACATACACTCTGTGGCTTGAAAAATAAATAAATAAATAAATTCTTAAGTATATTTGTAGAAATATCTGACAGGTAAAATGTGGGCCTGAAAGACTATTTTTGGAAAGGTGAATTTAATTTTCCTGAAATTTAAAGCTCCCTTATGCTAAGGGACTAATAGCCATCCACATGTGCATAAATGTGGGATTTCATGTCCCATGATCTTGACAACTTTTAGATGAACACCATTTTGATTAGTACAGATTTGGTAACAAGGTAGTATTTTAGTTTTTACTCAGATTATAAGAGACCGAATGTGAATGAAATACACATTCTCGGGGCCAGCAGATGGCATAGCAGTTATGTCACTGGACTCCCATATGGCTAACTATGGATTGAGTTCCAGACCTGGTGGCTTGAAAATCACACTAGGCGTGTGTGCATGTGCTCAAGATCCCAGGAGGAGATGGAGAAGGGATTGCAGTATGTCCACCCCACCCCAGTGGATAATTTCTCACTTTCCCTCTCACTACCTCTGTCTCTCTATTTCTGGTAAGCATACACACCTTAAGGCAAAAGCTTCTCAAGGGAGAAAGAAAGGAAGGAAGGAAGGAAGGAAAGAGAGAGAGAGAGAGAGAGAGACACTTTCTCTCCCTGTGACAAAGACCCATGAATGTTGCTTTGTAGAATTTCCCATTTGCAGACCAGCAGGTGGCATGGATTAAGGCACTGGACTCCCACATAGCTGACCATGGTTCAAGTGCCAGACCTGGTGGTGTGCTCTCTCACTTTGTCTCTCTCTCTCCCTTGTTTCTCTCTGGTGAACATACATGCCCTACAGCAAATTAATAATAATATAAATAAATAAAATAAAATTTAAAATGCTAAAGAACTTTCCATTTGTGTTCTATCTAACAAGTATAGTATCATAGTACACCGTGGTACAGTAAAGGTAGTACAGTATTTCCAGAGTCTAAGAGCTAAAATATTTAGCTTTAGTCATTACCATGGTCAAATTTCACTGGGCTAGAATATTGTTAAAGGAGCATTCTGTTTCAGAAATCTCTTTTTCTCTGATCATAGGACAGGGAAGTATTTCCTAGACATGTTCAATAATAATAGTGATGGCCAGCCAGGGCAGTGGTGGTTAAGGCAACTGGATCTCCATGGCTGACTACATGGTTCACTTCCTGGACACAGTTGCTTGAAAACATGCCAGGCATGTGTGTGTGTGCATGCCCAAAATCCTGAGAGGAGAATGGAGGAGAAGAAATTGTGGTGTGGCCATCCTCTCTGAGGAAGTGCTTTCTGATTTTCCCTGTCTCTCTCCTATGAGCTAAGGCACCTACAGCAATTAAAATAATAATAATAATGATAATATTTTACATGTGTCTAAAACCCCACAGTTTCAAAATAACCTCCACATACTTTACCTCATTTGACCTTTACAGTGATTTCAGGAGGAAGTCAGAGCAATGGTCCAGTTAGCCCATTTATAGAGATGAGAAAACTGAGACCTAATGTGGGTGGCAGAGTTGGGCATGAGGAACCAAGTCTTCCTGTTTCTAGTCTTCTTCCAAAGTCTTTCTGCTTTCCTTTGAGATAGAAGCTAGAACCTATTTGTACTTCTCTCTCATTATTATTATTTTAATGAACAAGCAAACACGGGAGAGAGAGTTTTTTGTTTTGATTTGTGTTAACAGAATCTTCTGTGATCGTCCTACCCAGCCTCTCTGTAAGTTAGGACTATAGGACTGGACCTCCTAGCCAGCAGTTTGGGTTGTATGGGGAACCCAACCCCAGCCTCCCATGCAGCCTCAGCCACCCCACAACAGTGCCCTCCCTTTTGTACCACTGTGCTGAGCCAGAAGCCAGAACCTGTTCTAAAGCAAGATTGGCTTCCTCCTTTTGCATAAACATCTCCCTTTAATACATGCAAACTCACTCAGTACCCTCCCCCACAACAACCTCCCTCCCCATTGTCATCTAGCCAGTAGCACAGGCTTAGACAAGGAGACAGAAGCCTCTGTTACCTTCTCCTTTTCCTGCAGTTTGCGTTCCTTGCGCTCCTGCACCGTGGTCAGGTAGTTGACAGCGGCGTACTCCAGCACCGAGAGGAACACGAACACAAAGCTGACCCAGAGGTAGATGTCCACAGCCTTGATGTAGGAGACGCGGGGCATGGAGGCGTTCACACCCGTGATGATGGTGGACATGGTCAGCACCGTCGTGATCCCTGTAACACCCAGTCTAGGTTCAGTGCTGACAACTGCACAAACTGCCCCCTACATTTTGCTAAGTCATAATTTTACATTCTCTATCCCGTGACTCAAATGAGAGATTTCCCAGGTCTGTTCTATCTTGTAAAGGTACAGAGAGGATCTGCTCCACCAGCAACCAGGCCTGCTCTGCCCTGGCCAGTTCACTGCTTATTTCCTTTTATTTAAAGCACTTTAGGAGCTTGGGCTTCTGAGATGGGCCTGACAATGCCAGGGATGCTTCAGAAAGAGCTTGTTTTGATGTGGCATTAAAAACAGTGACTGAAAGACACTTCTTTCTAAGGAAACCCTCTCAAGCTTCAGGAAATGAACACATTCTCCCTTATCTCAGTCACATTTATGAAATCCATGAAGACTGGAAATTTCTGCAAGCCTGTCAAGCTAGTTTATTCTCTACTGTACCTTGCTGGTTAAATCCTCACACTTCTCAGGGCCCAACCTGATTTTGTCCATATGTACAAAGATGAGTTGTGAGCTTTCACTGTGGAATTCAGAGTCTGCAAGGGGCTGAAACCATGGCTCCAGGAAATGCAGCTCTCCCATGCCCAGAAACTACACGTGATGGGCCCTGCCTCCAGACCCCTAGTCTGTCTAAACAAGGCCAGCAACCGAAGTTTTTGTATTTACAGAAAACATTTTTGGCATTTGCAAAATCTTATTTATCTAAGGACTCCAGTACTACCAGCTGTGGAAAACTATACCCTAAAGAGTCATATCTTTCTGAAGCAATTCAAAATTGTAGTTTAAACTCCCTGTGGTTTTCATAATACAGTGAAGGAAGCCAACATCTGAATGATGAAGGCAAGAAGTAGGAGGGAAGGTTTCTCCTCTCTGACAGCGCTCAATTAAGAACTCTGAATAATGATTTTGTATCTTCTTTACAGAGTGACTAGTTGAATAAAATAACCACCCTACCACACCTTATCAAATGCTTTTACCCAGTGAGACTCTGGCTGGCACAGCTCTGCGGTCGATCCAGAAGGACACCCATGACAACATGACCATCAGGGTGGCAGGGAAATAGGTTTGGAGCAAGAAGAAGAAAATGTGGCGACGCAACGTGAAGTTAATGTACAGACGGTTGTACCAGCCTGGGGACACAGGAAGAAACCAGTGAGGTTCCATCTGAGAGGCAAAAACAGATACATTTTCTTGGAGCCCTTTTCTCAGCATTGCTCTCAACATCCACAGAAAGTTAAATTAACGATCAATTGGCTTAAACTCTTCCCAACAAATATCTTGCCAGTGTCTAGTACAACTGCTTTCTAATTTGGTATTATCTAACTTCCCTTTATGCTATTTTTGGGGAAGTTAGAATTAAACAGAAGTACAGTTTTAGTTGTTTGTTTGGTGTTTGTTATTTGCATGCCACAAACATTTTTCCTGAGTGACTCACTGCTCAGGATCATAAACATTGCAGTGGCTCTGTTTTGTTGAGGCCAATACCGCTGAGGCAGGAGCCAAGAGATCAGGGCTCTCCTTACTGTCCCTTTTATTGTGAGGCTGGTCATTCTGTCAACTTCACATACATCAGGAAAAGAAATCGTCTGTGCATGGGATTCTAAAGTCAGATGTTCTGCTCCTCATATTCCATCTGCCTTGTGGATGTCATTTAGTATAAGGTCATTACTCAGGAAGTAGATGATACAGGTCTATTTCATTCTGACAGTCTGAGAATAACCAATTGTGGCTGTAAAACCGGGTTTAAAAAGTAAGGTTTTGGATGGTCCACAAGATCTGCCATGGGATCAAAGATGGTGCCAAAGACTGTGTTGTGAGTACATAAAGTGGATTGAAGCCATGTGCACATCCCACTCCTATCTCAGCCCAACCTAATCAGAGGATGCTAGAACTCACAGATGGTCCTGCTTTGTGTGTCCCAAAGCTTGGAGTCACAATGGCAATACAAGATGATTATAGGGGGCAGAAGTAGGTGCCTTTTTGTTTGTGTTAATTGTACTTATTATTAAAGTCATTTTCCATTTATGGTAAATAATACTAGTTTTCTGTTGAATATAGTGATGTAAGATTCATTTCCATAAAAAGTACAGGCCTGTTGTCAAGGCAGAGTGGTAAATCAATACTCCACAATGCTGAGTCCATTTGGGAGAGGTCCTGAGTTTGCATCCCAGGATCTCTCAGTGCATGCTTGTGATACTGGCTGAGACTGCAGGTTGGATTGTGGCATGATGACACTTTTGAGGGTTCTCTCTTTCTCAGGTAAGAAATAAAAATAGACCTTAAAAATAAATAAAATACAAAGGAGGAGTTGACAAGGAACAGTTAAGTCAATAATAGCATAGATAGTATATATGTAGGACAGACGTGGTAATGGTGTTATGTAAATAACTAATTTGGGAAACCCAGATTGAGTCTGTCTTAATTGAGACATGCAGAAATGAGACTATTAGAGGCTTTTCCAAGACCTCAGCCTGAGTCACAGATGAGCTTGAGTCAACTGTGTCTCCAGTGCCCAGGCCAGGACTCTTCTCCCTTAATATCCTTTTAATTTAGCAGGCAGTCACTGATGGTCTCCATGTGTATGGGCTGTGCTAGAGTCTGAGGGGAATAGAGAGTTGCCTAGGTCTTGGTTCTTGCTCTCAAGGATTTTTAAGAAACAGAATGGAAGTCCCACAGTGTGGAAATGCTCAAGATATGGGACAGTGTATATTTAAGTGCTAAAATGTCCATCTGTGTAAACAGAGAATGCTGTGGATTTTATAAAAGAAAGATGTGAACTGCTATTGGCAAAATGACTAAGAAACACCTCATGGAAGAGTTGAGTGCATGGGACCAGCAGTTGGCATAATGTCTATGTTGCTGGACTCCCATGTAGTCGACCGCAGTTCGAGTCCTGGACCCAGTGGCTTAAACTCACACTGGGTGCATGTGCGTGTGTGCCCAAGATTCTAAGAGGAGAATGGAGGAGAAGGGATTGTGGCATAGCCATCCCCGCTGGGGGGTGATTTCTTACTTTCTATCTCTTTGTCTCTCTCTGTCTTTCTGGCGAACTCAGGTGCCCTGTAGCAAAAATCTCTCTAAAAAAAAAAAAAGAGTTGAGTACAAATTGGACAGGGTGTGTGAAAAGTGGAGAGGCTCAGAGATGGATGTGAACTGTGTGCACAGAAGCCCATGATTCTTCACCTGGCTGCACATGAGGAACCCCTGGTGCTTTACAGCACTCTGGTACCTCATCTGATCTGAAGGAAGTTCTGACTTCATCAGTCTGGTGGGGACCAGGGCACATGTGTGTTTTAGAAGTAAGTTCCCCAGGTACACAGCAGCACTATTCATGACAGCCAGCAGGTAGAAACAACCCAAGTGCCCATCAACAGATTTATGGATAAACAAGTTTTGGTATATACATACCATGGGCTATTCTTCAGTCTTAGAAAGATACGAAATTGTGATTCATGCTACAATGTGGATAAATCTTAAAAACATCATGTCAATAAATCAGTCACAAAAGGACATATGTTATATGATTCTACATAGATGAAGTACTTAGGATAAACAAATTCACCTCTGTGGACAGAAATAGAATATAGATTTCCAAGAGTAGAGGGGGTAAATGGGGAGTCATTGTTTAATGGGTACAGAGCTTATGTATGGGATTTTGAATAAGTTCTGGAAATGGCTAGTGGTGATAGTTGTACAACATTGTGAATATACCCAATGCCAGTGAATTCTACACTTAGAAATAGTTAAAATAGTAAAAATTAATATTTATGCCTCATCACGCGCATGTGCACACACACACACACACACACACACACACACAAATACTAGCCAGAAATGACAACAAATTCCCCCAGGTAATTCGAATGTGCTGTCAGAGTTGAGAAATGTGTCCTACAATAGTGATTCTCAAAGTGCCAGTTCTGGAGCAGCAGCAAGGCATCATTGAGAAATTGTTAGAAATGCAAATTTTGGGGCCCACATGGGATCTGTTGAAAGAAACTGGGATTTGAGATGGGGCCCAGCATCTGTACATATTGTCCCTGGGGAACCTGTTCAAACAGATTGCTGGGCTCCACCTCAGAGTTCTAAGGCAATATTGATGCTGCTGGTTTGAACCACACTCTGAGAACTCTGTTTATTGAACACATTCCTTTAGTAGTTTGGATGGATCTGGGCCTTGTGTCGTGCTTGGATAAACACTGCTGAGGGGGCAAAGGCCATCAAGAAAAGGAAGGATTGGGTCAGAAGAGAAAGGCTGGAACCATAGGGTGAGTCCACACAAGCTTGACACCTGGCTGTTGTATAGGCTCCTGGGTTATTTGAATGAGACAGGTACTTTTAGCAAAGTTGATAAATGGAAAGTGATCTTCAAATATGGTAGGGACTACTAATCATCTATCATCCCACAACCTTTGTCTAGTCATGTCAGCTTTATTTTCCTCACTCGAATTGGCATCCACAAAGCAAATTACATTGTTCCTTAGGTTTGCACAGGGTCTTTCTGGAAGGGCTGAGAGCTGCCTTTATACTACTAGAGACTACTCTATTATTCTTCTTGCTGTCTAAGACAGCCAGGGAGAGTTGCCTTGGAAACACTGGGAAGAAGCCAGGAGCTCTGAACATATACAATCTGTGTTCCAAACAAAGAACTCGGGTGAGATCACAGCTCCTATGGCGTGGGATGACAAAACTTGTTTGTGTGTACATAGTAAACCATGGAAATGGAAGATGTGTTTTAATCGTACTTCAGAAAGACTTGAATGAGAGACAAAACAAAGATATGGACAAACAAGCATGCTATTCTAATACAGAAGATATCTAAGAGAAATACACACATGCTTAAGGCGAATTGCCTGGCCACTTACCAGCTGTCTCAGTTTTCTCATCTGTAAACTGGGAATAGTAATATCTTTACCATAGGTTTGTTAGGTAGAAATTAGTGAATCCACATAAAGCACTTAAAACAGTGGCTCATAATTAAAGTTATATGAGAAGCTATTAATGACTTTGTTGATTTGAACTTGCTAAGAATATATGTGAGAAAAGAAAATTCTATGGAATGCATAACAGAGTGGATGATGATGAGCACTGTGGGTAGAGGCTGAAATAGGCCTGAGGCTATCCTGACACCAACATAGCCTTGGCTAGGGCTGTCTCTTCCCACTATTTTTGATGCTGTGGACAGTGGGATGTGGGTGGGACAGGTGAACAGTCATGGCCATGCATGGTGGGAAGGAGCACAAAGTCTTCCAAAAGAAGACCTGGCCTTCTCAACACTGGGAAAAGGGTAAAGAAATAAGAAGTCTGCTAGGGTCCCATAGCCACTACAGAGCTGTTGTGGGTTGAATTGTGTATTCCTCCAAATAAATGGAAGTCCTAACTCCCAGTACTTGTGAATGTGATCTTATTTAGAAATAGGGTAACAACCACACTAGCCCCGTGACCTGGTGGTTAAGAGAGCCAGATCCCACATGGCCGACCATGTGGTTCAAATCCATGTGGAAAAACATGCTGGGCACATGTGCTTGTGTGCCCAAAATCTCAACAGGATGGAGGGATGGAGGAGAATGAATTGTGGCATGATTGTACCCCACTGGTGGATGTTTCCTCCCTCCCTCTCTCTCTCTCTGTCTCTCTTTGGCAAGTGCACAAACCCTCTGGAAAAATTTTTAAAAAAGAAGAAAGAGAGATAGCATGACAACCACCAGAACTAGAAAGAGGTAGGAAAGATTCTTTTTAAAACCTTTAGAGGGAGCATTGCCCTTGGACTTCTGGCCTCTGGAACTGTCAGAGCTTATCATTTCTGTTGTTTCAAGCCCCCAGTTCATGGTACTTTGTTACAACATCCCCAAGAAGCTAATGCAAGAGTTAATGGTGAGATTAGAGAGGGACTGACAAAGAGAGGAGCTCTGAAAACATGGCCTAGGGTCCACGAAGAGGTTACATTAAGCATTAAAAATTACTCCAGTGCTGGTGCAGTGGTGTGCGCCTGTAATTGCAGGTAACTGGGAGACTGAGGGAGAAGAACAACAAGTTAGAGGCCAGCCTGAGCAACCTAGCAAGATTCGATTCCTAAAAACAAACATAAATAAATAAGAATCCATAGATCTGAATATGTGAAACAAATACATTACCTCTGAAAGCTATCTTTTGTTTAGTAGAACAAATCAAGTTATAGAACAACATATAAGATATGACTTCCATAATTGCAACAAGATGGCTGGAAGGATAGTTACCAAATTGTTAGGAGTGATTACCTCTGGTGATAGGATTTCAAGAAATAGTGATTCTTATTCTTTGCTTTCTGATTTTAAGTACTGTTTATATTTTGTTGGGCTATGCATTTTTTAAATAATCAAATCTTATTTTCAATGAAAGGGGAAAGGGGAAAATGGTTAGGTCAAAGAAGAATTATGTGTTTTATTTCTCACATGAGTCAGATTATAGCAAAAATTTGCTACCAGTGCTGCTGTAGAAGGCCAGTCTAGAAGTTGTATGAAACTTCTGAATCAGAAACTGCGACAAGGAGATCTTCTCATCTGTTTTCAGAGATTCATCTCCATTCTTCCAATACAGCATCAGATCTTCATCTGTGTATGCATCTTCAGGGAGAGGAAAATAAGTTAATTTGACTCCTTTATTTGTGATTCAGGGCAAAGCAACAAGGAAATCCTATGCCATCCTGGGAGTAAACAGCTTTTAACCCTGGCAGGCAGTACTCAGTCTTGTGGTTACAAAAATGGCACAAAGATTAGAGAGGGAACAAGGTGAAATAATTAGAAATACTGATACTTACAGCTTTCCAACTCCAAAGAACAGGTTTGAGAGTCCAAGGGAAAGTGGCTGAAGTCCATGTTGCACATTGCAGTGACTGTAATCCTAGACAACCCAAACACACATCGGCTTGCACAGTGAGTTATTGGATTGTTCACCTACCCAGAGTAAGGAGGACACAGCACATGACCACGAATAGCTGCCTTCTCATGTCTGCTTCAGGAGTTTGAAAATGTAGCCACCTAAGTTACTGAACCTTAACTTACAGAATTTTGTCCTCTATAGATGCTATTGGTGCTCTGCCCAAATCCCCTTACTGGGCTGGCATGTTCCTTCCTCAGCTACTATGGGTGCTGACTGATAATGACCCACAGCTACACTCTTCTCTAGCTTTGTCCTCAACCAGCAGGGTCACCTCCCCTAGAGATACTGAGGAGGTTATGGCTACCTTCCTGCCCCCCCCCCACACACACCCAAGGCCAGGAATATAAGTAGACCAGGAAGATGTGAAATATGACTGCTTAAATCATTCAAGTTAGCCCAGAAACTAATCAACAGTAGTACTCAATAAACAGCTATTGCTACAGTTGTTATTATTTTAATCTTTATTACCAATCAACCAGAATTATGCCTATCAGAAACTCAGGGATGGAAAGTACATAGAAGAGCATTGTCTCCATCACCTCGTTCAGGCCAAAGTAATCTTGTAACCTGAGTTTAAGGCTACATGAGCTCATCGTACATTGATGGGGAAGTCACCATCAACTGGGGTAGCCATTTCATCCTTAGACAATTCTGACTGGCATCAGAAGGGTTGTACCATCCTACTTAGTTCACAGACCCAACCACAGTGACAAACTCTTGAGTGTCAGAGGGGCTGATGACACATATTGCACAAGCATTGGAAAAAGGAGCAACATATCCATGGACAGATACCTCATGCTGTAGAGCACATGGCCATCGGGGAACACCCTCAGCATGATGTTGTCAGTGGTGGTGTCATGAATGAAGGACCTTTTGGAGTGAACAAAGAAGACATCAGGGACCCAGATCTTCTTCACCAACCGCCCGTCGAAAGTCATACTCTTGTTGTTGGTGCTGGGGAAGGCCAGCCTCTCATCCTTCCAGTAATGCCTCAGGTATAGGGTCATGGTGAAGTCCTGCAAGACCGGGGGCGAGATCAGACATAAATGGCTTAGAAGCTTCCTTCCTTAAATGCACCCATCACTTACCTCTATAGCAGATGCCTCAGTCTCAGCTTCCAGTCCTGGAGCCCTGTGGTATAACAGCTAAGGCAATAGCATGATTGCAACTGGAAAGAAAATGGCTCATTTTTGTGTGTCATAAAGTTGGAGCCCAGGAGGCTGAGCACCTAGTACATCACGCTTTGCACATGAAAACTGAACCTGCAATGCCAAAAGCCTGGTCTGATGGCCAGTAGAGTAGGATTTCCTCAAAGTCATTTAGACCTCTACACATATGGTTCCTTAGCTACCTGGCTAACTATTACATTTCAGTTTAGTGGCCACTTCCAGAAACCTGGATCTCAAGCGTCCATCTTAGAAAGATTTCTACCACTAGACTTACAAAATCCTTAAAGGCAGAATTGTTTCCTGCTCACCACTGAATTCCTAGGCCCTAGTGGCCTAGTGTCAAGAAACATATTAGGAACACAATGAATACTGTGAGATGGAAAAGTGGAGAGGATGAGTAGATGAGGGGATGGGCAGCTTCAAATCCACTGTAATTTCAGCCTGAAAGCTTATCCTGTTAAAAAGTATTTCCTTACCTACATATTTGATGCCTTAAACCAATCATCTGGCCCTTATGTCATAGCTAGAGCTAAAACAGAAGTGAAAATGGGCAATAACTGCCTAAAAATCCTCTTTTGGGATAATTGGAAGATGGATGGAAAGAGGGTATGATATTAGTGGGCCCAAAGGGATCCCAGAAAGGGAGCAAAGAATGTGCACTGAGATCCTGTCCACAGAGTCTGTCCCCACCTGGTTCCAGCCTCAAGTGTATCAGCACCTGCCAGGAACTCCATTTATGCATGTGTGAGCAGCTGATACATGAGCAGGAAGAAGCCAACCAGATACCTGCTGGAAATCCTATCCAATACTCTACTTTTTCTTTCCCTTCCAGGTCACACAGCTGGAGAACATACGCTGAGGGACATTGCCCAGGGGAATGCCACACTGCAGAGCCACAAACACAAGCTGTGGATGTCACCTACCTACCACCTTCTTTGTGCTGCGGTCTGCCTGCCTTCTCACAGGTTGGTGATTGGTCTAAAAGAGGCAGAGTGTTCTAGGCATCTCTCTCTGGTATCCTGACCCATGTTTGAAAGAAGACAGGAGGGTCTTCACATACACAGTGGATATCTGGGCTGACTCAGGTCTAAGGAAGATAGGCTGGCCTCAGGCTCAACTGGTTTTAGAGCTGGACTCAGCTGTTGGGTATCCAAAGGGGCTGGCAGTGTGCACTCTTTTGCATCTTAGAGACTGTCCCATTTGTATCTTTCCCAGCTAGACTCTCACCTTTTACCAGGTTCTGGAGCTATTGTGGAGGTGGTGGGGTGCCCAACATGAGTATCATATCAGTTCTGCTGTGCAGGGTCAGTTTAGGAGCCAAGGAGGCCCCACCCTTCAAGGGTGTATAATGACATTGCAGTGGGAAGGTGGAACTTTCATTCCACATGTGGTTCAAGGGCATCCTATGGGCCCACCCATACTGGGCTAGGCTCAGAGATTAGAAGTAAAAAACAAAAGACAAGTTCCTGTGCTCATGGAGCGTATAGTCAAGTGTAGAACACAGCCAAATGTAAGAAAACCCAAAAATAAATATAGCACTAGTAGAAGTGATGATGTGGGGTATGAAGGAAAAACAAAAATCTCTAGATCAGGTGGCCAGGGACCCCTCTTTGAAGAAGCCTCATATTAAGTGAGACCTGACGAATAAGGAGACAGTCATGGGGAGAGCCCAAGCAAGACACATACAAGGCCCCTGAGGCAGAAGAAAGAGAGTGATTGTGAAAGAACAGAAGGTGAAGAGACAGGGTTAGAGGGGCTGCCCACACGGGCACAGCCTGTACCATGGAAGTCACTATGCCATGGTCTCTCCAAGCATCCTGGCTGCACGGGCCCTCCCTAGAGACTTCCCAGTTAAGGGTAAGGCATACCATGTCCACCTCGGAGATGCTGTCCAAACTCTCCACCTGTACGTCCACGCCCACTGGGATGGCAGGGCCTGCAGAAAAGCAGAGACAGGTGGTTAGGGCATATTCTTCTCTAGCACCAGCTGGGAGGCCCCAACTACCTTCCGTGAGGGAACCAGGACTGGAGCAGTGACTCAGAATTTTGTGAGAGTTTTCTGCTACTTCCTGATGTGTTGGTGCTTGAGCTCTTTCTCCAGGAGCACAGGGACTATATCTGCCTTTGTGCTATTCCTGGGCCACAGAGAATTTTTAATTCGTGCTTGTTGAGTGAATCAATGAGCTAGATCACTACTTTTTACATCCCAAGGCTGTTTTATACGGTATAGGTAATAATGTTATTCTTGTACCTAAGTGGAGACACTAGTCATTTATCCTTATGTCCAGGACAGAAAGGACTAAGAACCTTGACTTGGGGTAGGGGCATCAGCATGTCCAGGTCTGGATCCATTCAGTCATTTAAACTCTGCCTACACAGTACCAAACATAGACCTGGCGGCCTGCCCTCTAGAATCCTCCAACCTAGTACAAGAGCTTCTCTATGCAAAATTAGATCACAGTGAAAGACAGTCCTGTAAAAGATTTTGAAATCTTTCAGGACATGTCAGGTGAGAAGCATGAGAATACATGGCTGAGAAACTAGCACTCAGTTTCATCTGGTCAGTGGCAAGATCTCTAAAACCGCTTATCTGTGGGGTTACATGTGGGGTCCTGTCCCTTTTTCTTGAGCTGGGGATGGTTACCTTTGCAGTGAGTTCATTTTGTGACAATTTAGTGAGCTGTACAGTTGCGTATGTACATTATACTTCAGTAAAATGTTTCTTAGATTTTACTATTAAGGAAAAAAAAACTTAGAAAGAGAAAACCTCAAAAATGGGGTTTCAAGCACATCAATAAATGCCATTACACTTAGAACAAAAAATGTGGGGTCCAGCAGTTAGCGTAATGGCTATGTTGCTGGACTCCCATGTAGTCGACTGCGGTTTGAGTCCTGGAGCCAGCGGCTTAAACTCATGCTGGGCACGTGTGTGTGCGTGCCCAAGATCCCGAGAGGAGAATGGAGGAGAAGGGGTTGTGGTGTGGCCATCCCCCCTGGGGGGTGATTTCTCACTCTGTCTCTGTGTCTCTCTGTCTTTCTGGCAAGCACATGCACCCTATAGCAAAAACCTCTCCAAAAAAGAGAGTATAGGGAGTCAGATGGCACACTGCCATTGGAGAGTGCATTGACCAGGTGCACCGGGGTCCTCTGAGCCCTGACCAGGGAGTGCGAGACAAGAACATTCTGACCCACTATGATCTGAGCAGGTGAACCTGAGGGAGCAGGGTGAGTCTGGGTGTCTGGGACTGACAAGAATGAGCAGGGACTGAGACTTTGGCTGTGGGCTGGGAAGGAGGATCAGATATCCTGACATGGAGTAAGTAGGAGCTAGAAGGCTCACTCCTCAGCTCCAGCCCAAACACAGGGTGGGGACCTCTCAGGTGGCCCAGAGCATGAAGTGGCTCACTGACTCTCCCTAACTCTCCCCTAAAGATGTACTAATGCTTGAAATCCTATCATTAAAGATTTGGTGGTTTTGGTCAAATCTGATAGAATGGAAGTATTTTATTACCGGTGGGATCTAGTAAGTATTTCCTATGTTCTTAAACATGACAACAAATAATACAACGCTCTATTTTTTTATTAGTATTTTTTCCTCTCAGAAAAATCATGGCATAAGTTATCTTTCTAATTACCTCTGTTCCTCGATAAATACCTTAGGCCAGGGCTCATGAGCAAGCCTTGTTCTGACAGGGCTTTGAGTGCTGAAAGTAAAATGGTCAGTGTGGGAGGAGGCCCCTTGTAGCCTGTGTTTCTCCCACCAGGGGCTCTCCACACAAAGGGGCCCTGTGGGCAGCCTGGCCAGGCTCTGTCCGAGTACCCAGACCTATACACAATGCTTCTGGTTTCCAACATTCCATCAGGGGAATAGGAGCTGGTTAATTTCCTCATCCTCTGTCTCTTCTCTTAGTGTAAGACAATAAAATGGCGGCTCAGACTCAGAGATCTGCACTCCCAGTGCTGTCTCCTGTGGAGAGTGTGCTGTCCTCTCCCCTTCCCCCTTATTCCTTTCTCTTAGGCCAGGTGACCTACTACAAAGTATAATAGTTCCAAGAGCCAAAGAGAAGAAACAATGCCATGATCGCCCTTTTTAGACCTGCTTTCCAATGGCCTGGTTTTCAAATAATGTGCCCAGTGTTTGACCAGGAGCTGGTTTTGGCTCAGGGCATTTTCCAGGTGAAGTGTATCAGCTTGCTTGGTGTTGGTTACTGCCTCTGTTTGGGGGGCTTGCTCTCTACAGCTTCAGCCACTCTTAAAAGGAGAAATTTAATAAAACTTATGAAAGTGGCACAGTGTTCTGGAAGTATTGCTCATGTGACAGGCAGGTCGAGGTCTCAGGTGCCTTGATGGTTGGAGGTGAACAATCTGTGTGTTCAGGAGGCTCCAGAGCTACACTCAAGGGGACCCACACCTCAGGCTTGAACCAATGACCCTGCTGTCCCTGGGCTGAGCTTTGCCTTTTACGAGCCCCACTGCTGGGCTCTCCCGAGCTCTCCATTTTGTGCCTTTTTCCCAATCTCATTTTGGGAGAAATTTTTCCAAATTACTGATATTTTTCTTCCTTCCATGAACAATTTTATGTTTGAGGGAGCTGAGTTCTATGAGGTGCTAGAAAGAAAACTGTCTTACTAAACTAACTAGGTGTTCAAGACTTGGCCCCTTAAATTGCTGTGGGATTTCCCCCTTCTAGCAAGGTCTGTGAGCCAGATACAAATCCTTATGGGTTTCCCAGCAGTGTGTCCAAGGCAGCATACAGAAATTACACGTTAATCAAGGGCTCTTCTAGATTCCTAGCCTTCTGATTCCTTTGCGCATCGTCCTGAGACCAAACATTTTCCCACTAGTTCTTGAAGGATAAATGTGAAATAGGGTTTTAACATAAAATGAAAACAGTTGCCAACAGACATCCTGCCCTAAATAAAAGTGTTTTCAAGCAGAAGGAACACGGGGGAAAGCTGGAAATGCAAGAAAAAGAAAATAAAGAACAAGATGGTATATATGGCATAGTCTAAGTGAATATTGAATATATTAACAATGTATTATGGGATCAAAAAACTAATGTAAAATATATAACAAAAATAACATTTAAGTAGGAAAAGTATAAATATGGAGAGAAAGTGTTCTAAGGTCTTTGCATTGTCTGGGAGAAGAGTAAACACAGTGAATTAACATACATGTATGATGAGCCAGAGATTCAAGTTGTTTTCTGGGGAATTACCAAAAACTAGTGAAAATATGTACTTTCCAAACCCACATAAGAAAAACAAAATAGGGGCCAGGTGGTGGCAGAATGGTAGAAGACAATGCTCTGGGGGGCAATTCTACAAGGAAGGTTCCCAGTTCAATTCTAGGGACTTCCCTGAATACGTGGGGCACGCATTTGCCCATGATCCTGGGCTAACTGAAGCTGAGGGTGGGTTGTGGTATTGGGATCCTTTGGAGCTACTGTCTTTCTGTCTGTCTGTCTCTTTTTCTTGCTCACAGAAGAATAAACTTAAAAAAAATTTTAAAGAGAAATACCAAAACAAGAATAATTAAAAATAATCATTCCAAAACTAAACAGAAAAGGAAAAAGAAAAAGAAAAAAAAAATGAGCATAGAAAAGATTGATAATAGGATGATAGATTTTCAGCCATACTTAAATAATTTAAAAAATGTAAATGGACAGAATGTTCCAGGTAACAAATATTTTCAGGCTTGATAATTCAGAAATATTGAGTTTGCCAGACTGAATTAAGAAACAAAATCATGGAGGGCTGGCTCCATGGTCTGGTGGTTAAGGCAGTTAGATCCCACATGGCCGATCACGTGGTTCAAGTCCTGGACCAGGTAGCTTGAGAAACACATTGAGCACATGCATGTGTATGCATGCCCAACATCCCAAAAGGAGGGAGAGATGGAGAAGGGATTGCAGCATGACTATTTCCATGGGGAGTGCTTTCTCCTCTCTCTCACTCTTTTTCTACCTCTCTCTGGTGAGGACATGCTCCCTCTGGCTAAATAAATAAATAAATAAAACCATATGTAAATTAATGGGCATGGTTAAATAATATCATAATACATTCATGTATCTAAACATCACATGTATCTCAGAATTATACATTTTTTATTTTTATTTGTAGTTTTCAATGAAATATTTTTAATTAGCTAGAGGGCATGTACACTTGCTGTTGAGAGAGAGAGAGAAAGTGAGAAAGCACCCACCATGGAGGATAGCTATGCCGCAATTCCTTCTCCATTGCTTTGTTTGGAATTTTAGGCATGAACGCATATATGCCTGTGTTTCAAGCCACTGGATCCAGGACTCAAATTGTTTAGTCAGCCGTGTAGTATCCAGCTGCCTTAACCACTATACAGACAGCTGATTCCAAATTTAAAAAAAAATAATAATAATTTTAAAAAAGAAACAAAACCCAGGGGCCAGCAGATGGTATAGCAGTTACTTTGCTGGACTCCCACAAGGCTGACCGCGGTTTGAGTCCTGGACCAGTGGCTTGAAAATCATGCCAACCATGTGTGCATGCCCGCCCAAGATGCCGGGAAGAGAAAGGAGAATGAAGGAGAAGGGATTGCAGCATGGCTGTCCCTCCCAGGGAGGTGATTTCTCACTTTCCCTCTCATTGTCTCTGTCTCTCTCTCTGTCTTTCTCTCTCTCTCAGGCTAGCACACATGTCCTAAGGCAATAAATTTTTTTTAAAAAAGAGAAAGAAACAAAACCAACACTATGCTATTAAATTAACTGAAAATATAAGAAACAGAAAAGTTGAATGTAATGGATGCAAAACAGAACACACAAATACTAACTCAAAGAAAATGTGTGTAGTTATACTTCATTAAGCAAAGTAGACTTAAAAAGGATAAACGATCCTCCTAAAAAGATAGGAGGATCATTTCATAAAAATAAATGACTTAATTCATAAATAACATTTAATAATT